GGGGGGGGGGGGGGGGGGGGAGGCAGAACTGGACACTCACCCTCCGCTTAATGGACATTGTGGCCACGTTCTGCAGCACCACATACTGCACCTCACTACAGGGGAGAAGAGAAGAGCAGTCAGCTGGTCAGGGATGAGGGGAATAGCCAAGGGAATGCATGCAATAGGCTGTTCTTACAGGAAGGAGGGCAGGTCTGTCCCCATCTCCCTCCTGTCCCTAGCACCCAGGCCAGGAGCTGGAATCCAAACACCAGACACTCTGTGGGCCAATGGCATTCCTAACAGCTCCTCAGCTTGACTTGATCCAAGACAAACTTCCACCATTGCTACTGAAATAGGCCTGAGATTCCTTCTAAAATGGGCTGCATCTAGGTTTAATCTCAGAAGCTCTCTGTGCTCCTGGTACTGCACTAATGAGATCCACCAGATCAGGCTGCCAGGGGGAGTCAGCATGAGAGCTCTGCCTTGCTGTGCCAGCTCTAGCCTGGATATGTCACTCACACATAGCAAAAGAACTCTGCTTCTGAATTCCCAGGAGATTACTTGTGAGGAGGATGGGGGATGTGGAGACAAGAGCCAAGCAGGTGATGAGGGTAAAAAAAGAGGGGAGGCTGTGGTGTCTGCCAACCTGTGACTCCTCAGGAGACGCACTAGTGCCTTGGCAATGACTCCGACCTCTGCCTTGGGTGCCAGGTGGAAGTAGAGCTGAGCTACAGCCATGACCACCTGCAGGGAGAGGGGGGAGGGTCACTGGGAGAAGAGAGAGCAGAGGTGGACAATCCAGTCTCTGGGTAAGAATCCCCTGCTTCCAGGGGCAGCTGACATCCCAGAGCTGCTTGTCAAAGTCCCATTACCAGTTAAGCCTGTACATAAACAGACAGACAGACAGGGGGTTCAGAAGCTCCCAATGCTCTCAGAGTGTGTGTGCATACATTCGTGCGTGCATCTCAGGTCACAGGCATCTTCCCTTGCTGCTCAGGAGCAGTTAAGGGTGCCACAAGCAGGCCCAGCATGGAGCGCTCAGGGGAGGCTGTGGTGGGCTGGTAGGGGGGTGCTCACAGCAGCATTGCGGCTCTGCAACAGGGGCTTGGTATTGCGCAGCAGCAGGCGGTGGTCAGGGTCCATGACGTAGGGCTTGCGCTTCACCAGGGAGGCGGTCTCTGTCTTGTCATCCTTGGCATCCTCCTCATCAGAGCCGTAGAAGGCCTTCTCCGCATTCTCCTCCAGCAGGGATTCCTGTAAGCACAGGGAGCAGCATGAGGTGTTAGGTCCACCTCAGAGCCCCTCCCAAAGCCCCTAGCCCCTCCCAAAGCCACGCCCCCTCCTTTTAGACCCCCTCACCCATCTGCTCTGCTAGGGACCCCCTTGTCACACAGGAACCTCCTTGTGCACAGGCTACCCTCCTGCAGCCCCTGTGCAACTTCCTCCACCCTCCCAACCCACTGCTGCTGTCTGCCCTGAAAAAGCAATGGGGGGAAGGTGACAAAGAGCACTGACCCTTAGAGACATACCCCACCTAATACTGCTCCTGCCTACTTGTGCCCCATCCCCTGCTGGCAAGGGGTAGGCTCCTGCTAGTGTCCTCAGCTCCTCATAACAGTGACCATGGCCTTTCAGGTGGCTACAGAATAAGTGGCAAAATGCCCAACCCTCACTCTGGTGACTGGAGAGCCAGCAACACTCCTCATCTGGGGATCTGTAGCATAGCTGGTTCTACTTCATGGCCCCGGCATTGGGGGTGTAGCCAAGGGTACATGGGTGCAGCCATGGCTCCGTTGTCCTCTAGCAATGCCAGGCTGCCAGGGACCACTGCACCTTCATAACTACACTCCAGCCTCTTCCCAATGCAGCACTGGAGCAACTACAGAGCTGCCCGAGACTCTCAGCCCCTTGGCTGCCACTGGCTAGTCCTATGAGGCTTTACTGGCAATGCACTCCAGCCCGGGTGGCCCCAAAGGGGCCCAGCACAGGTGTCTGAGCAATGCAGCAATGTCAAGGCCATTAACCTCCAACAGGTGGGGAATCACCACTGTAGTCTGACCAACTGCCCAGCCTCCCCCTGCACAAGTCCACACAGCCAGGCTGGGGCATATCTTTCAAAGGACACTGAGCCTTGACTGAAAGACTCCCAGTGGTGCTGGCCTCTCCTCTCCTTCTCCCAGGGAGCTGTTCCAGTAGCAAACAGTTCTCCCAGATTAAAATGTGCATCCAATTTCCAGTCTGAGCTCAGACTTGCTGAGAGCCAGCAAGGAGCAAGGGGCCAAAGGGCATGGGGACCTGTATGCAGCTCAGGAACCACAGACTGGACATGACCTCAAGCCCAGAACTCATGAAGAGGGGGTGGGCATGCTGTGCCTGTGACACCTGGCATAAGTCCCCTCCCTCCTTGAGCCCCTGTCCCAGTCCCAGACTCCTTCCCTGTCCCCTTAGCTCTGTGTTCATTGGTTACCTCTCCCACAGCCCACACTCACATTCTGGTTGGGGCTGAGGAACTGGGTGCGGGCATAGCGGGTCAGCATGTTGATGATCACCACCTGGCCCCACTCCTCCACATCAATCAGCAGGTTGCACAGCTTCCGGTAGTTCTTGTGGATCAAGTCGATCCGCTCAGGGCAGACCTCCTCAAAGGCCATCACCACACTGCCTGCCACCAGCTGGAGCCAGGAAGGGGGTGTGGAGAGAGACAGAGAGATGGCAAAGGAAGTGGGGTGGGCAGAGGGGTGGCAGCAGCAGGAGTTGCATTACCAGGGCCCTGCTTGTGTTTTCCAACAGCTGGCCCTCCCTACCAGTCTCTAGGGAGGCTCCCTCACGGCCCTGAGATGAAGGAAGAAGCCCCAGGGCCAGGGCCAGGCCCTGGGAGGAATCCTAGCTTTGAGGGCACTGCTGATGGGACAGTAGGGTGCCAGGTTGGGAACTTGCTGATAATGAAATAAGGTAGTGGCCCCCAGGGGGACAGAGAACTGGGTCCTTCGTGAAGCTAGAGCCCAGGTCAGGTCAACCTCTTAGGCAGCCTGGAGATGTCAGCCTGAAGAGAGGGTTGTATTAGAGACTCCTTTAATAATGCAGCTCCGCTCCACACAGGGTTCCCCAGGGCTGTCCCACTCACCGTGGTCTTATCTGCTAGCAGCTTCTCAATCACCTCAATCAGCTGGTCCTTCTGGTCCGAGTCCAGGCTGCATGAGAGAGTGAGCGAGAATAAGCCAAGCAGGATGCTGACAGCAGCAGTAGGGAACTGCTGCAGGGCAGTGGTTCCCACCATGTTTTTATGCTGCGAACTGGCATGGGAGCAGCAGAGCCAGCCTCCTCCCTCCTGGGGCTGTCCCCCGGCCCGGCTTGTGCCACAACCTGGCAGCCAACCCCTCATGGCCCGGTACTGGGCCACAGCTCAGTCGTTGGAAACTTCTGCTGTAGGGGACTGCCAAAGCCCTCCCCACCTTGAGCCAAAGCAGGCAGGGGTATGGGGCTGGCATTGCCTTCATGGACTTTTTGACAGACCTCAGGTATCACACCCAGCTACTCCCCAAGTGCAGGTGCCTGTGAGGGGAATCTCCATCAGTTGATGGAGTGCAGGGCCTATAAGTTATAACACACGGCAGAGTGGTCCCAGCTCCCTCTAGCAAAATGGGAACAGTAGAGAGATGTTTTTTTTACCTTTGCATCTGCTAATGGGAAGAGCACAGCACTTGATGCCAGGGGCATGAGGGTTCTGTGGCAAAAAGTCACCCCCCCCCCGGGTAACTGCTCAAGGGCTCCATTTCTTCCAGCCATATACAGGGGTCAAATATTTACCCAGGGAGATATGTGCAGGCGTATACCCCAGACCAAATAGTAGGTCTTGCTTTTCTCCCCTACCCTACTGCTCCACCTTGCCCCTGCCTGCCTCCAATCCATGTGAACCCTTTGCCTCCAGTCTGGAGCAGCTCCAGTCTGGCCTGCCCAATAGTGTCACTCCTGCGTCTGACCAATCATGACCCCTTGGTAATGTCTGTGGAGTCCAAACTCAAGAACTAAGTTGACTTTGCACTTTTTGTCCAGCTGCTACATTGCTCCTGCCATGTGACCCTAGCCAGGCACAGAGCTGACTACAGCCAGGTCCTTGCTAGTTACTTCCCTGGCTGCAGAGTGCATAAGGCCAGTCCGGGGAAATGTTTACTGATCCATTGCTTTTAATGACCAGAAGCAACCAGAGCAGTCATCCACCCCAGCCCAGCCCAGGGAGTCCTGCCCTGTGCCCAGCAATCTGCATCTCAAGCCATCAAAGTCATGAAGTGTGCAATGGCACAGCCCCTGAAAATGGAAGTTTAAGGAAATCCTTCCAAAATTCTTATGAAAAAGGAAGTATTGTAAAAGCAAGAACATCACCACCCCCTGCCCCACACACACCCTAAACCTCAGCTGCCCCACCATAGTGCCTTCTAGGCACTGAGATGCTTAGCCACATATCAGTAGGGCCCTGATGGCTTGTTGGTTACTGTACAGGCTTCATCTGGGGAGCCAATGCTTTGCCTGACACTCCTCAGCACTTGGTGTTGCCAGGCTGTGGGTCTCATTTCCAGTTGCTGTGGATTTCCTTGGTACCATCTGTGCTTGGGAAGGAACCTCACACCCTCCTGGGGCTTGCAGTCCCTGCCCAGGGAGCTGGAGGCAACCCACAGTGGTCCAGGAGAGGGTGGAGGTATGGCAGTGGCTAACTGGGTTCCCTTGGCAGCTGGGCAGTGAGTGGGGGTTGTAGGAAGTGCCCAGGCTCACATACCCATGGCCCCTTCATGCACAAAGCAGGATAGCTCTGGAATCACAATCCTGGCCAGGATGACTGGTCTCTGAGGGGATCTGCTGCACCCTCCTAAGGGCACAGAGGGGGTACAGATGGTGCCCAGTCAGGTGTGGCAGTCCTAGCTTCCTGCCTTGGTTGTGGTGCAAAGGGCTGCAGGAAAGGTGAGGCGAGGGCTGCAGGGGCTGTTACCTGTACAGCTTGGGGATGGCGTGAGCAGCAGTCTTGCGCACATATGGGGACATGTCCGATGCCGCCTCCTTGATGGCCAGCATCATGATGGGCACGATGATGGGCACACGGATGCTGGACAGGACCCGCAGGGCACTGGCTCTGATCAGCTGGTTGGGATCCTGCAGAGAGGGGGACAACATGGGGACAGTCCGGGGGGTTCTCAGCACCCATGGGTGCAGGAGAGAAGCTCACATGCTTGTGCTGGGAGGAAGGGGGCTCTGCTTTGCTCTCTGGAGCAGCAGTGGATTCCCTATGAGATGCAACTCCCTTCTCATTGACACTGACACCCAGCCCCACCAGTCCTGACTGCCAGGGTGCTGAGCCTGCTGAGTTCAGCATCACTGGGACTAACTCCAGCAGCCCCGGAGGGTGTAGAGAGAGGAAAACCAGAACCACCCCAGTGCTTGGGGCAGCTCCTGGGCACAGCAGACTTCTATGCTGCCTGGCACATGCACCCAGCACCAGATCCTTCAGTCCCTATCCCCTAGGGGCTTCCCAAGATCAGAGCCAAACCTAGGCCTTCCCACAGCTTTGCCACAACAGGGCTGGGGCTGGCCAGCCAGGGCTCCTCCTGGCCTACACAGGCATCTCTACCAGGAGCCTCTGGAAAAGGGTGGGGCAGCAGGTGGTCAGCCAGCGTGGGGCATGCCCCTCACTCTCGAGTTGGCTGTGCCACCACCTGCTCTTCTCCAACTCTGGCCCCAAAACCCTCCAGTCTGCACTTGGGCCCCTGCCTCAAAAGAGGACCCAGGGTGCAGCAGGCTCTCTGCCAGGCCACACCCTGGGCCTTCTTGCTCCATATCCAGTGCCACAGACCCAGACTGGCACATGCCTAGAGCAACCTTGACAGGGCCCAGCAGGGGCTTCCCCTATCAGTTTTCAAGTGACCAAGTCCTATAGGCAAACTATAGGCCCATCAGCCTGACCTCTATCGTGGGGAAGGCCTTAGAAAAGTTTATTAAAGAGGCCATCCTTAATGGACTGGCCAACACCAACATCCTGAGGGATAGCCAGCATGGGTTTGTTGCGGGTAGGTCGTGCTTGACCAATCTCATTTCCTTTTACGACCAGGGGACCTATTACCTGGACAAGGGAGAAGAGATCGATGTCATATATCTTGACTTCAAAAAAGCCTTCGATCGGGTATCCCACGATCACCTCTCGGTGAAACTGGCTAACTGTGGCCTTGGGTCCACCATGATCCGCTGGCTGGGAAATTGGTTCTGTGGCCGGAACCAGAGGGTGGTGGTTGACGGAAGTCAATTGTCATGGTGCCCTGTGACCAGTGGTCCCCCAAGGCTCTGTCCTTGGACCCATATTGTTCAACATCTTCATTAATGATGTGGACATTGGAGTCAGAAGCGGACTGGCCACGTTTGCCAATGACACCAAACTTTGGGGCAAAGTGTCCACAGCAGAAGACAGGAGGGTGATCCAGGCTGACCTGGACAGGCTCAGCAAGTGGGTGGATGAGAACCTGATGGTGTTGAACACTGAAAAATGCAAGGTTCTCCACCTTGGGAGGAAAAACTTGCAGCATCCTTGTAGGCTGTGCTACGCTGGCTAGCACTACGGAAGAAAGAGACTTGGGGGTCATCATTGACCACAAGATGAACATGAGCCTTCAACGTGATGCTGTGGCTAGTAAAGCGAGCAAAACGCTGGCTTGCATCCATAGATGCTTCTCAAGCAAATCCCGGGATGTCATTCTCCTGTTGTATTCAGCCTTGGTGAGGCCGCAGCTGGAGTACTGCATCCAGTTTTGGGCTCCACAATTCAAAAAGGATGTGGAGAAGCTTGAGAGAGTCCAGAGAAGAGTCACGCACATGATCAGAGGTCAGGAAAACAGACCTTACGACGACAGGCTGAGAGCTATGGGGCTCTTTAGCCTGGAAAAGCGCAGGCTCAGGGGTGATCTGATGGCCACCTATAAGTTTATCAGGGGTGACCACCAGTATTTGGGGGAATGTTTGTTCACCAGAGCGCCCCAAGGGATGACAAGGTTGAACAGTTATAAAACTACTGTAAGTCCATTTCAGGATGGACATAAGGAAGAATTTTTTTTAACTGTCCAAGCCCCCAAGGTCTGGAATAGCCTGCCAATGGAGGTGGTTCAAGCACCTACATTGAATACTTTCAGGAAAAAATTGGATGCTGATCTTGCTGGGATCCTACGACCCCAAATGACTTCCTGCCTTCAGGCGGGGGGCTGGGCTCGATGATTTTCTGAGGTCCCTTCCAGCCCTAATGTCTATGAAATCGATAAAGTTCCAAGTCCCAAATATAGTGTGGGCTTCTAAGAGGCCTCACAGGCCTTTCCCCTCCACACATCCACCCCTATCCCAGGCCACAGAGTTATCACACCAGCTCTGGTTCCAGCCTCATGTTTCCAGCCTCTCTATGCATCTCTTCCTCCATCCTGACTGACCTGTATCTTGAGGAGGAACTGGAGCTGTAAGCTGAGCACTGAGCAGATACTGGCAGGGGAGTGAGAAAGACCAGAAGCACCTGCTGGGATTGGGCACTGGACAGAACATGCCTGTGCACACTACCCAAGCCAGTGCCAGGGGGGTTGGGGTCATAGCACATTGCCCAGCACTCACATCCTCCTTTCTCATTTGGCTGCACTGTGGGGAGGCAGGGAGGGCAGAGTCTGTGCCAGCCTGTGCAAAGGGCAAAGGTGGCAGCAGGTTCTACTAGGCTGGCACTGGCACTGTGTGGGATGGGGGTGGAGAGAGGGACCAGAGGAGACGTGAGGTCAGGAGATGAGGATTTTAGGAAACCTGCCTGAGGCTTGCTCTGTGGGCAGCACCTCTCAGCCCAGGAGGTTCTGAGAGATGCGTGGTCAGGCTCTGTGGTCTGAGAGGTTTGGCTTTGTCTAGAAGCCCTAAGCATGGTCTCAACCAGGCTGCCAGACTGATAGAGAGAAAGAACATGAATGTACAGAAGCCCTTTCATGCCAGCAAGGGCTGTCCCAAGCAATAGGGCAGAGCCCTGTGTTTTCCTGCCCCTGGTTTAGCTAACAAATCTTCTCACAAAAAGCCCAACCAACAGTGAGATGGACACCAGCTGCTATCACCAACAGAGAGGGATCTATTTCTGCCACTTCTGAAAGATGATCAGGAGCTTGGAGGCAACACCCACTGCCAGCCCTCACAACACCCAAAAGATAACACACTCAAACTCCCACCCCCGCCCTCTCCCTGACAGCAGACTGCAGCACCTAACCTTTAGTCCCCGCTGGAAGGTGGAGATGGAGAGCAAGGCCAGGTCCTGCTGTTCCTCTGCGTATCGCACCAGGTAGACATACACCAGCTTCTTCACCTGCCAGGCAGAGATAGGTCCTTACTCAGCCAGGCTCTGAGCACCTGCCACCCTCAGGCACTCCCCTGCCCCATCACTCCAGCCTCCCCCACAGGGTGCCCAGCCCCCATGGGCACTGATTGAGAGAGGCGACTGTCCCTGCTGCTGGATTCAGGGCCTGGACATGCAACATGTTGGCACTGCTGTAGTAAAATAGTTCTCCACTGATCTCAGTTCCACTGGGATAGGAAGCAGTGTCAGCACTTTCTGGCAGGACTGGCTGTTACAGTTGCTTGCCACTGGATGGCAAAGCTGCTGCTAGGAGACAGTCTGCACTGAGCCCAGGGTTACCCCAGAATAACTGCAGACACACAACACCTATACCACTAATTTTCACCGGTGTATTTTTACTGTTGTTTTCCCCCAGGGTCACCCTACCCTGAACTCTATCATGTTACAAAGTACAGGGCTATGTGCTGTGTGTCTGCTCCTTTTTCACTGGTCAAAAGAAGTCCTAGCTCTCAGCATCTGTGTATGTATATGGAGGGGGGGTGGGCAGAAAGGAGTGTAGTTTCAGAGGCTGGAATGAGTTTGCTCAGTTTGGCAGGGCTGGGAGGGGGGGCAGTAAATGAGTTTTATTCCTTCTCCCAGAATCCTCTGTTGTGTTGCCATGTTTGGGACAGAGTCTGGGCCTGCTATGGCCCCAGGTTAGAACTCAACTCTACACAGTCCCATGGAATCCAGCTTGGCCAATTTACTGCCCTGTCTTGTGATGCATTGTCCCATAGCCCTCCTCCAGGCAAGTCCACTGTTTCACCCAGCAAGCAAGGGGGAGAATGAGACAGAAGATCCCACCAGCTGAGAGTAAGAAGCCACACAAAATCTCAGAGCAGTCTGCTGCTTCCCCCAAGAAGGGGTTGTCCCAGAATCTCAGCAGCTTCAGACCCCATGCAGCATACCAGCAACCACCCAGCAGGCACTGGTCCCTTTGGACACTGCCCCGCTGGCAGATAACACCACGATGCCCAAGGAGCTGCCTACCTCGATATTCTTGCAAGCCACATTTTTTACAACAGCTGGAAAGAGGTCAGACGCGTTCTTCCCCCGGGCGATCATCTGCAGAGAAGGGAGGGGAGAGCGTGAAGGCACAGCCTGGATGCAGGGGTGTAGCTGGCTCAGAGCACGTCAGAGATTCAATTAAACCACAGCATGGGGAGAAATCCACAATCTTGGGCTGCAAATCCATTGGTTTCCACCACCTGGGTGAGAAAGTGGAATCCCTCCTCGACTACTGGGGGGGGGGTGGGTCACAGTCCCTAGCACAGTGGGGCTCTGATCTACACCTTGGTCCCAGGCACAACTGAAACACGTCACAACAGCAGCAGTGTGACGACTCTCAGCCTCTCCTAAGACAAGCAGAAGGACAACAGATGCCTGATCAGCTCTGACCCACATAGCACAGGCAGTGGCCAGCCAAAGAGCTGAAGCTGGAGATGCTGGACCTGACCACACTGGTGAATGGGAGGGGAGGGTGGTTTCTGATGCAGAGGGAAGGCCAACAGGGCAGCAAGGTCTGGGGGAACAGGCATGAGACAAGGAAGCAGGAGGGCCCTGGATCTACTCCAGGCACTGACACAACTTCCTGGTAGATTGCCAGCAAATACAATCTCCCTTCTCCCTACTGTGACTCAGTTTCCCCATCTGCAAAATGGAGGGGATGGTTCATGCAGGAGTGGGGGCTAACTCACCTCTCTTAGTTCAGTGCTCAATCAGTGCTAATTACTGACACTGGTGGGACAGTTTCACCCTTGCAGTGTCCACATGGTAATTAGGGGTCTGGGAGGCCAACCCCACATGTAGGGGGAATGGAGGCACAGAAGCCTGCCTGTACAGTCACTGAGCAACCCTGCAACTGAGCAGTCACTGAGCAACTCAGCAGCTCCTGGCACCTGGGGCCTTATGCCATGCTCTGTGGTTCTAGCCCATCTGCCCGACACTCACAGCGACAATCCTCTTCATGGCCTCCAGCTTCAGAGAGTCCTTGTTGCTGTCCAGCATCTCCTTCAGGTCATCATGCCTGCAAAACAAGAAGAACCCTCAAAGAAGGAGTTATAGATGCCAGGCAGGCACCTGGGGCCAACCCTCCCTGCTGATCCCTCAGGCACCAGCACAGGTAGCTGCCAGTCCTCCCTGCACCAGGCCATCCCACAGAAACTGCAGCCCTGGGCATCCAACACACTGCTGCTGGTAACAATCTCTACCCAGCTCAGGATTTCAGTGCACTCTAAAAATCATTTGTATTCACTTTCTCAAGCATCCTCAGTGAATGGATATGCAGCAACCTTCTTTCACCAGTGAGGAAACTGAGGCAGGACACTGCCCAATGCAGGTCTGTTAACCACCTCATAGGAACCCCCGACCCATCAGGATAGGCAGGGCTTTCCCAGGGGGCTGGTATCAGTTGCTTAACACCAGAAGGGAAACACTGTGCTTCCTAGGGGTTGAAGAGCCAGGCCATCTGACCCACACCCCAGCCTGCTGGAACATACGAGACCCAGGTCTGACCCAGGGAGCTGAGCTGGAGCATGGGCACCGCTGGCACGTCCCAAAGCTTGGTGGATTCCCGAGTTTGTGGCCCCAACTATTGACACAGACATCAGGAAGACAGGAGAGAGAAACCTGCGGTAGCAGATGCTCAAAGCAGTCCTACGCTGGGAGGGTTGAGGGAGAGCGGGTAGATGGGTCCCTAGAGTCTGGATGCTTTGCTACAGCCCAGGTGAACCTCTTGGCTCTGAAAGCCAGTGATACCACCCATGGTATCTGAGGTGCTCTGTACCTGCAGGAAGGGCTGGATCCTTCTTTGCCTGGGGTGGGGGGGAAGATCAGCATCCCCGGCTGAGGGCCTAACAAGTGGCTGTCTGAGGAAGTGCAGAAGAGTCATCAGCAACACAGACAGCAATCCTGGCCTGACTCCCAGTCTCATGACTTTTGGGGCTTTACTAAATCCCCAACTCCTGGAGTCCTGTGACTTGGGAGTGTCTTTGCTTTTACAGAGGACATAAGGAGAACATTTCCTGCCCTTGGGGCTGCAGGGAGAAGGTGGAAAGCACAGCCTGCATGGGTCATGAAGGCACAGAGGCCCCATGGCAGTGACAATCCCCAAGCGGATTTTTCTTCTTCTTCTTCTTTTTTTTTTAAATCTCTCTCATGATTTGCTACTCGCTCCCCTAATCCCAGGGCCTAACTCCCAAATTCTGAACACTGGTGTCTGGCACCCCTGTGTCACCCGGCAGGCAGGACGGAGGCTACATTGTTGTAGAGCTGGGAACGGAGGAGCTGTCGTTCTCAGCCCTTGAAGTGTGCTAGTCAGGCTGATCTGCTCCGTTCCCTGTGGCCTGCGCCCGAAACCCTTCTTCCATCTGGAGCTCAGACAACACCCAGCCAGCCAGGCTGCACAGTCCAGACCTGGGACTAGAGACCGTGGCTCTGTCTCTTCTCCCAGGAAACGAATAGGCTCGACAAGGCTGGGATAGTTCTGGGACCACAGCCTGGGCTGGGTGTGAAGGCTCCTGCCAGTCCCCGTTTCATCCAGAAGCAGTCACGTGCCCAGCATAAAGCTCTGAGCTAGTCCTTGGGGACCTTTGCTCTTGGCCCCATCTCCCCTAGAGCTGCCAACCTCCACCCCAACTGCCTGCTGCAACCTCAAACCAGCACTGGCTCAGACTGCAGGCTGCGAAAACCAGCTGCTGGGTGCAGTGCTCCAGCCACAACATTTACCCAAAGAAACCTCTTCCTGCAGCCTGCGCCCTGCCTCTGGGACGTGGCTGGAACCCGCACAGCTTTTACAGTTTTGCTACTCCTTCTGCACACACACACAGCCGCTTATCTCCCACCGCCAGCCTGGGAGCTCTTGCAGGGCAATGAGAGGGGCCCAGCTGGGAGCAGTAGGCCCCCCACTCCCCAGCCAGGGTCCAGCCACACCTGGGGTCACTGCCTCTCACAGCAGTGACTTGGCACAACCCAGTGCCTGGGAGCTGCGCTATCTGCTGTGGATAAAGAGCTCACAGAAGGATTACCAGGGAAGGACTCTCCAACCATGTGGCTCATGGCTGTAAGCAGCTCCCAACCCCCTGCTCCAAGCAGCTCGAAGGGACTCCTTCCCCATCCGCTTTGGGGCACAGGCCTGAGCACTGTCAGTCCTTCCAACCCGCTGAGCCTGGGCAGTGCTTAGCCCTACAATCTGGACTGAGCAAGCTGGCTCCCAAGGCTTTTCTCTGTCCATCCCAGCAACACTACATCAAGACTTTCACTATCCATGCCCCAGCAAAGGATCGGAGCCACAGGATCAAGAGACAAGCAAAAGGACATGCAGAGGTGGCCCCTCACAGCAGCACGTGGAGATCCTCACAGACCTGGGTCCCTCTCATATGCCCGGAGAAGCCACCGTAGCGAAGGGATGGGGAGATACGGACACTCGTCCCCACTGCAGGAAGCAGGTGCTACCTGAAGCCGACAGGTCCGAGCGGATGGGAGTTCATGCCTGGGAGCACCAGGTGCAGCAGACCCGCAGGAGGCCGATGGCCTGGTACATGGATTGAGCTCAAGGGTATAATGCCAGGTTGCTCCACACACAGAAGAGCCCAGGTGCCACCAACACGCACGGCCTGGAGCACAGCTGGCGCACAGCGCAGGTCAGGGGCAACACGATTCCCCGCAGCACAGGGCCCCGATCCCACGAGACTGCCCGCATGGCCATCAGCCCCGAGACGTGCCGAACCAAGCCGGCTGCTCCCGACGCGCCGCACCCTCCACCTGCGCTGGGCAGAACCTGCCTTGGCTAGAAGCAGCCTGGGGCTCCCACCCATATCAGCCACTCACGTTGCCATCAGTGGCGCAGGCAGGTCACGCCTCATGGCAGCCGTGCCAAGCACGATAGCAGTAAACCAGCTTCCGGCTTGACGCTTTCCAGCTGCAAGCACCGGGCTCACCTTGTGAGCCCGACTGAACTAGCAAATAAAGCATTTCATAACCTCCCCGGGGATGTTTGAGCAACTTATATGGCTGAGGAAGGGAGAGGGCAGGGAGGCGAAGGGAAGGGCTGGGTCCCTCACTGCGCAGAACAGGCATCGGTTTTACAGGGCTCTCAGGCAGCGATTCCCCCGTTCGCGGGGCGGGGGAAAGGGGCTCGTGCCCAGCTCAGGCCTGCGCAATCCCGACACGCAGCTCAGGGCCAGAGTCGGCCACCAAAACCCACCTGGGAGCTGGGACACTCAGACAGCTGCTCCCTAAATAGGGAGGGGGAGCTGAAACCACCAGAAAGATTGGGCTCCCGGTTTTGTGACAAGCTTGCTCTGCGTGGGGTGCAGACGGACGGGGGAGGGAAGGCTGCGGTGAACCCCAGGGCGGTGACAGGTCAGGGGACGGGTGGGTTTCGAGGCACAGGGGGGGTCAGCGTCCTTTGGGGAAGTGCGTCTCTGCCACACCACGGCAGGGGGGGTTGCCCAAGGCCTCAGTGAGCAAATCGGGACCTCCCACAGCTTAGCCCGCAGCCCAGCAAAGGCAGGGGACGCGAGCGGACTTGAACCCCTGGCAGCCCCTGCCCAAAGGTCGCCGGGCCGGGAGGCCGAGGAGCTGCCTGCTTCGGGCAGGGAACCCAACCCACAGCTGCCCGTGAAATATTTATGCCCCGTCAGGAATTCATTTACAGCAGCCTGAAAAGGAGCCGGAAGGCCGGGGCCGGTTGCCACAGCAACCGCAATGCTTGGTCTTCTCGCATGGCCTCTGCTCTTTCTCCTTAACGGGCGTATTGCCACCGCTGGCGGCGGGCTGGGGTTACAGACCGGCAGATGAGGTGCCTTCCGTCTAGCAGCCTGTGGCCATGGGGGGATGCAAGTCACCTGTGGGTTGAGCTGGCTGGTCCTCAGCTCCAGCGATCCATAACTACAGCACCCGCTGAGCATCCTCCCATGCCCTCCTCAGCAGCCTCCCTCCCCAGGAACGCGGCCCCGCGGCCTGGCTGCACAGACATCGGGGGGCAGCTCTGTCCTAGAGAGCAGGAGCTCTCTAGCGGATCCCAAGTCTTGGCAGGACAGGCCTAGGCCACATTAGTGGGAATCAGCTCAACCTGGAAATAAACCAGCCCCAATCTAACATCTTCTACAAGGTCTTTTCTTCAAAAAAAGAAATTAAAAAATGCTATAAATCGCAATTTTACATGCACAGACAAAAAGTAATCCGACCCAAGCACATGGCAGCAGCTGGCCTCATAGTTTGGAGCCCAATCTTGGAGGCTCTCCACACTCAGATGTCTCATTGATGGCACTGGAGGTGCTAGGGGCCAATTCCCTCCTGGAACAAAGGAATGGCATTTAATAGAGGGGGAAGCAAAAGGGCTGGATTCTCACCTGGTGCAAATCTGCAAAGTGAATTCAATGGGATTACACTGAGTTGCAGCAGCTGAGAGTCTGGCTGGCACAGCTTAAATCACGCAGAGTTCTGCAGCCGTGTGGTTGTGCCCTATTCAATTCCACAGGGTAGGTTAAACACGCACGCCCCTATGGAAATGCCAGAACCGTCTGCTAAATCCTACAGTGACTTTCCAAGAGACGCTGCACATGCATTAGCCCATGAGCTTCCCTAACTGCACAGAAGTTACTTCAAGACAAACAAAGAAATCCCAAGCAGTTTTCCAAAACAGCACCAGACTCTCCTCCAAGCAAGAGCAAATATCAAACAGAGCTATGGGTAGGTCTGAGCTGGTTCCAGAATCTCAAGGTATCTGAAGTATTTATTTTGGGGTTTGAGGGCAGGACCTCTCTGATTTACATCCAATGCTCAGGGAGCCGCTTTGCACTGCAACTGTCAAGTATCCTCCACCCCAGACCTTTCAGCCTGGGGCTTCAGATACTCCCAAATCCATCAGCAGGCATATATGTGCAGACCCAAGCCCGGAGACTTGGGGTTCAGATACCCGCGAGTCTCACTTGCCCTCAGCCAACAGCCGCAGCTGTGGGAAGAAGAATCAAAGTTTCTAGACAGGATGACACTCGCACCCAGGTGGAAATCAAGGCCTTCATG